CTAAAATAATAAATTAATAAAGTTAGAGATGGAAAAGGATACCAACAAAATACAAAGGATCATTAGGAAATACTTCAAAAACTTATATTTTAATTATCTGAAAAATCTAGAAGAAATTAATAAATTTCTAGATGCATGTGACCTAACAAAATTGAACCAAGAGAATATAAACCATTCAAACTGATCTACAATGAGTAATGAGACTGAACCAGTAATAAAGAGTCTCCCAACAAAGAAAAGCCAATGATCAGACAGATTCATTCATCTGGATTCTATCAGACCTTTAAAGAAAAACTAACACCAATGCTCCTCAAGCTATTCCATAAAAATAGAAAGGGAAGGAATGCTACCAAACTCATTTTGTAAAGCCAGTATTACCTTGATACCAAACAGATAAAGACACAGCAAATAGACCAATTTCCTGAATGACCATAGATGCAAGAATTCTCAATATAATACTTGCAAACCAAATTCAATAGCACATTAAAAAGATCATATACTGATCAAGTGGTTTTCATTCCAGGGATACAGGATGGTTCATCAATAAAGTACTCCAGCATATAAAAAATAAAGGATAAAAACCTTTATGATAGAGAGAGACAGAGAAAGAGAGAGGCACAAGGGAGGAATGCACCTGCCATCTCTCTCATATGTGGGGACTTTATTCACCCTGATAACCTATAAAGGTGTGAGGCTAAGTTTTAGGAGTGGGTCTTTGAAAACACTGTAGTGGTGAAGATAATGGTTATGGGGATGGTAATGGTGATGATACAAATTAAAGTTACATGCTTTCAACTAGCAGAAACTGTGCTTAGAGTGCCCTTTATCAAAACAGGAATTATTTGAGTGTGTGTAAATGGTTCACATCATCGAAGCAAACCCAAAGGACCAGGTTTGAAAAGTTGTATCAATAGGACCAAGTATCTCCAAAAGGCCAAGAAACAGGAAATACGGCTATAATTTCTGGAGACTTCCACCACAGCTCTTAATATCAACCAACTTAACAAGGCTAGGATGGTCATATGTTTGTTCATATGGCTGTGTCCGAGAGGCTAACAAGCTGGGAGAGGCAGGATTTAGACCTTGTGTGTTCTATAGTTAAAGGAAAGGCATTGCTTTCCACAGCATTCCTAGGGAATGATCCCCAAATAGGAAGATAAGCGGATGCTAGACAGCCATACCCAACCTTCCAAAATATCTAGTACTACAATGGCCTCTAATGTCCTTGCCCTCTTATAGTCTTTCAGGCCTATTTTACTACTTACTATGGGTATTCAATATGGAAGTTACATCTATGTTTGTCAACGAGCCTTTCTTGCCCAAACATTTAAGTCTTGACTAAGACTCTTGAAGGGGTGGGGCCTAGTGGGAAGTCCTCAGGTCACTGAGGGGCATGCTCTCAAGAAGTGTTGTGGGACTGCAGTCTCTTCTTCTTCCCCTTTTTCACTTTCATGCCATAAGATGGGTGGGTTTTCTCTGCTACACTTTCCTGCCATGATGCACTCCCTAAAGCAATAGTTCCACCTGATAATGGAATGGAACCTCCAAAACTATGAGCCTAAAGAAACCTCTTCTCTTCCTAAATTGATTACACCAGGTATTTGTTGCAGTAACAGAAAGCTGACTGACACACTGGATGAGAGGTACCACCACCCTACCAAATTTTTTGCATGTATTTCTCTTTCACAAAATTAAACTGTCCAGAATGGCATTTCAAAACATGGTCTTCATCACCAGTATAATGAAACTGATGAAATTTAATGTTCTACTTCAATAACACAATAAAGTTTACCAGTAGGCCTTTTATTGGCTCCCTTTATAGAAGAAATCATTCTTTCACTGATTGCTCTAATTCCTCCCTCTCATTCTGTGCCTGTGGCAAGGATGACTCACAATGAATTCAACACCTTAAAGGCAGTAGTTTCGAAACATCAATGTACAGTGAGAATGATCTTGACTAAATGGTCATCCTTGCCATTTCCTCCTCTTTTCCCTTCCTCCCTCTCTTTTTTTTCTTCATTTCTTATTTCTCTTCCCCTCTCTTGGCAGACAGCAGAGTTACACCTGGAAAGGGATTTCAGTTCTGCCTTTTCTGTGTGACAATGAACTCCCTTGATCTTTAATTCCCTTACCTATTAAATAGGGGTCAAAATACTAACCTCAGCTCTTCACTGAGAGCTGAAGGAGAGAATCTAGACACTCCTCCTTTTATTGTTCTTTCCTTCACCACACTTCACAGATAATTGCATTTTATAAATTGAAGGTTTGTGGTGACCCAGCATGGACCAAAGTCTATGGTGCCATTTTTCCAACAGAATATACTCACTTCATGTCTTTGTATCATGTTTTGTTAATTCTACCAATATTTCAAACTTTTTCATTATTATCATGTCTACTATGGTGATCAGTAATCTTTGGTGTAGCTACGGTAATTGTTTGGAAGTACCATGGACAGTGACCTTACACAATGGACTTAAGTGATGAATGTTTGCTCCACCACGTGTTCTTTCCCACCTGTCTCCCTTTTCTCAGGCCTCTCAAGTCCTCAAAACATGACAATTTTGAAATTAGGTCAAGTGAAACTATGATGGTTTCTAAGTGTTCAAGTAAAAGGAAAAGACACACCTCTCCTTAAATCAAAAACTAGAAATGGTTAAGCCCAGTGAGCTAGGTCTCTCGCTCCAGTCAAGTTGCGAATGCAAAGGAAAATAAAAATGGTATTCCAGTGAACAAGCCAATGATAGAAGCCAAACAGCCCTATGCTGATCTGGAGAAGAAAAGTTTTGGTAGTCTGGATGGATCAAACCAGCACAGCATTCCCTTAAGCCAAAGCCTCATCCAGAGCAAAGCCCTCACTCTCCTCAATTCTACAAAGGCTGAGGGAAGTCTGAAGTCAGCAGAGGTCAGCTTAGGAGATTTAAGGAAAGCAGCTGGCTCCATAGCATGAAAGTGCAGGTGAAGCAGCAGGTGCAATGTAGAAGGCACAGTGAGTTACCTGGAAGTGTGGAACTGGCACTATTGATGGAGCTGGCTACACTACACAGCAGGTTTTCAACACAGATAGAACAGCCTTCTAGCGCAAGAAGACACCATCTAGAATGTTCATAGCTAGAGACAAGTCAATGCCAGGCTTCAAAAAAGAGACTGAATCATTTGTTTGTTTGTTTGTTTGGGACAGAGTCTTGCTATGTAGCCCAGGCAGGCCTCAGACTCATGATCCTCCTGCCTCTGCCTCCTGAGTGCTGGGATTACAGGTGTTCAATACCACACTCAGCCCAGACTGACTTTTGTTAGGGGCTAATGCAGCTGAAGACTTTAAATTGAAACCAATGCTTCTCTACCATTCCAAAAATCCTATAGTCCTTAAGGGTTGTACCAAATCTCCTCTCTCCATAAATAGAGCAATGAAGCCTGGGTGACAGCACATCTGTTTACAATGTGGTTTATTGGAAAATCTTACATTCTGCTATTGAGACCTACTTTCAAATTATTTCAACTTTCAAGTGTTATTATTTAAGAAATACATTACAGTGGTTCATGTCCATAATTCCAGCTTCCCCAGAGTCTGAGGCAAGAGGGTCACTTGAGCCTAGAAGTGCCGAGCCCAGCCTGGGTGGCATAGCGAGACCCTGTCTTAGAAGCACATTTCATAAGGCTGTGTTGTAGAGCTCTAGTTGTAGATGGCAATTCTTCTGACGAACACCTAGAAGTGACTAGCCATTCTGGATGCCAATAAGAACATTCAGGCCAGGCACTGGTGGCTCTGTAATCCCAGCTACTCAGGAGGCAGAGATCAGGAGGATCATGGTTCATTTCCAACCCCTGGCAAATAGTTAGCGAAACCCTATCTCAAAAAAAAAAAAAACCCTTCACCAAAGAGGTCTGGTAGAGTGGCTAAAGGTGTAGGCCCTGAGTTCAAATCCCAGTACTGCAAAAAAAAAAAGAGAGAACATTCAGGATTGATGGGAAGAGGACGAGACATTGACAGGAGTTTGGAAAAGGTTAACTGGAATCTTCCAGATGATTTCACCAGCTGAAGACTTCTGTGGAGAAGCGACTGCAGGCGTGCTGGGACTAGCAAGAGAGTTAGAAGTGGGGCCTGAAGAGGCTGGTGAATTGCTGCCATCTGCAGTAACACTAATGGAGAAGGAGGTGCTTCTTTTGGGTGAGCAAAGACGGTGGTTTCTGGAGATGGGCTCCACTCCTGGTGAAGATGTGTGCACACTACTGAGGTGACAGAGGATTTACAATAGCACGGAAACTTGGTGTCAGGGCTTGACAAGACAGACTCCAGTTTGGAACACAGTGCTACTGTAAGCAAAATGGTACCAAATAGCACCACAGGCTGTAGCAAAATCTTTCATGAACAGAAGAGCCAATCGATGTGGCAAGCTTCAGTGAGGGGCAGGGGGAAGGTGGCACAAACAATGTAGACAAATGTAAGTAAATGTAAAGATGATAAAATAAAAGAAATTTTATTTAAAAAAAAAGAAATTATCACAGCCATCTTAAGCAGTCCCCATCCTGATCAGTCAATAGCCACCAGCATTGTGGCAAGACACTCCAATCCCAGAAAGATATGACTTGCTGAAGGTTCATTCGGGCAGTTGTTAGCATTTTGTAGCAATAAAGTATTTTCTTAAAATTAAGGTATATGCATTATTTTTTGAGACATGCTATTGTGTATTAATTAAATACTATACAGTGTGGACATAATTTTTATATGCACTAGGAAAACAAAAGTGACTTGCTTTATTGTGATATTCACTTTGCTACAGAGGTTTGGAACTGAACCTGAGAAATGCCCCTGTCTGAAATGTGGCCGGTGCACAGTAAGCACTCCGCTAACATTCTCCATGGTGCTGTTGCTACTCTCCAGTCTTTTCACCAACAATTCACCCAACAAATGTTAAAGTAGAAGTGTGAGGGAGGAAATGACTTTAATAGGAAGCTCATGGTTTGCCTTTGAGGTTAGCCACTGCCCACCTGGTCTCGTTCTCCTAATCAGCCACGCTTAGCGCCCTGGGCATGATGCATCCTTGGCCAAACGTTTTTTGCATAATGTAATCAAATAAGCAGGTAGGGGAAAAGGAGGCAAAGCAGACCCACAGGTAAGCCAGCTTTCCTGGTGCGTAGAAGGGAGAAGGGCTCTTAGCAGAAATAGCATGCTGGACGTCCTGCAGCACCGGGGTGAAGTCCGGACTGGACTGGGCACTCATGAGCCGGAGGAAGTCCTTGTTGAGAAACAAGTAGTCCTGACCGTAGTCCTCCTGCACCTCTTGGGGGAGTTGATCCAGGACATTCTTCTCCATCTTGTCCCACATGTCACTCGTGCCCATGAGACCTGAGACAAGAGAGGAAAGGATGGGTTAGATTCTGGGAAGGACAGGCCAAGTCCGAGAGGCCAGGGCTTGGGAAGTGGCCTCTGCTGGGAAGAGTGGGCATTTGCAAACACCTTTAAATATGTGCTTTGCGATGGCTTTTATTGTCATTTTTAAATCTTCACAAGGAAAAGAGTGTGCAAGATTGGATTTCTACAAAGTGAATAGGCTGAGTAACCAACAACCAGAGCAGCCTTGAGGTCCCCCCCTTCCCAGAAGCCACCATGCTCGTGAGCAAGGCAGGCTCATTTTGCCTGGTTTTGAACACTGTATAAATGCCACTGTGTCATGCTTAGTCTCTGGCAGCAACTTCTTCATGCAACATGTCTGTGAGACCCATCCATGTATTGTGTGCCCACTCTCTTTACCACAGCTTTCCTTTGTATAAATATGCCATAAATTATTGATCCAAATGACTGATATTGTGACTGGCATATTATTAGTTTTGATTTGAGGCTCTTACAAATATGACTGCCACAGACCAAAATAGTCTTTTGGTGACTATTACACATGTAATACAATATCTATGAGGTAATATATATTACAAATAATTTATTCTTACATGCATATACATACCCTTCATATAAGTTATTAAGTATGGTAATTCTAGCTAATCTATATTGAAAATTAAATATCTTATCTATAATAATTGCAATTTAATTTTTAAATATGTATTAAATGTAACTAATATAATTTTAATAGATTTAAATTTTACTATAGAAATTACACATGATTAACTATAAAGATATTTTAATATGGAGGCAATGAGTGCTTATGAGGTCAAATTCTATATATTGACTTTACAATATAGAACAACGCCAGCTCATTTTATAAAGTGAATAACAAGGCGACACATAAATCTTTTAAATCAGTCTCTCTTGATGTAACTAATAGTGTTATGTACCTTCTATCACCTTCTACCACCCCTCTTTGTTCCTACACATAGAAGGTTTGGGGTTCATTTCTGTTTTACCAAGAAAGAACAAAAGCAAAAAGAATTGTACTGTATGGATTTTCCTGGAATTTTTTTTTTCCTTCTCAGTAAGAAAACACAGACCTCACTCCGGCTCGGTGAGTATAGATTTAAATCATGATTCGTCAATGGTTATAGATTTAACCCAGAGCAATGGAAATTTCCATGGCACAGCTTTTAGTCAGCCACACTCCTATCAGTGTTTCCAGTCCCTGCTAGGTTTCACCACTGCAAGTGACGCTGCAGAGAGCACACGTGCACAATCACCCCTTTGTACATGGGCTTTATTTCTGTAGGCTCAAGTCCCCAGAGTGTAGCTGCCTGTTCAAAAGGCACCGCAGTTTGAATTTTAATAGCTACTGCCAGGTCGCTCTGCAAAAAAGTTGCAGCCACCCACACTCCCTCCCACACAGAGCGTGATTGCTGAGCTCCGTGCCTGCCGTGCGGGGTGAGCCTTTGTTTGCTAGCTTGGGTGACTCAGAATATCAGGGCTGTGGGAGAGGCTGGCTGTGACATGTAAGCCCCTGAAATCCAATTATGGAAATGCAAACGAGCTTTCAATCGCTTGTTTCTCTTCATGAAGGTACAGCACCGTGTTTAGAGAAATGTTACCCTGACAATTTCTCTGGAGGGTCTGAGACTTGAAAACCATCTTTGTTTGTGTGATTTACTATCCTTCCTGTCACCTCCCCCGATCCCTGCTTTCATGGGCAGGGAATAAAGGGGATTCCTTTATTCTCCACTGCATGGACTTTCTTACCACTCTTGTGAATACTCTGGTTAGAGCCCCCAAAACTCCCTTTATAGGTGATAAAGCAATCAAACTGCTGATGGACAACCATCATTGGCCACTTTGGGCACACATGATGACCCTCCCACTCTCTGTGTCTTGGAGCAACCCACAGCAAAGTTGTTAATGTGACCTGAATGCAAATAGCACCTCTGCCTGGTATCAGCTTTATGGCTTGGGAAGCTCCTTAGCTTCTCCAAGCCTCAGTTTTCTTGCTGTCAGATGGGACTGTTATGCATGGGGGAGTATGAAGTGAGATAATGCTTGACTTTGAATTGTGTTCACTATTATTATTGTAGACCACTAAAAATGAGCTGGTCTGTCTCCTTGAATGTCTTCAGAAGTTCCTTGTCTGTGTCTCTATGGATTCTTTTTCCTGTCCCCACATTCAGTTAGATACAAACAGGAAGCACCACTCCCCAAACTTGAGTTCTCTGCCCTCTGTTTGCTGTCCCCTTGCCTTCAGGGAGCTCACCAAATATCAACTAGAAGCTGGCATGAAAGAAGGAACCCAGGTTCTGCACCCAGGATCTAGCTTCAAATTCCCCGCCATCTTGGTGGGCCTGGCACCTACCCTGGTGCAAGGTACCCATCCCACCTCAGCACTCTCACCTGGAAAATAACGTTAATTAAACCTACCTCTTAGATAGTTAATAAAGAACTAGAAGAGAGGAGTCCAAAGGCTCCCAAAAGAGAGAAATAATAAAAATTGAGAAGATGAAAAGGCTAATTACCCCATTTGCTCACTACATGTTGTTTATATGTATTACATTTTCACACCAAATCCCATAAATATATACAACTATTATGTGCCCATTAAATATTAAAATTAAAAACAAATATAGTAAAGGTGGAAGTATAAATTGGAGCAATATTTTAGAGAGCAGTTAGGGATTACCCAGTCAAGCTGAAGCTAGAGGAACTCCATGATTTAGTCATTCCACTCCTGCTATGTGTCACAGGAGAATTCAGGTAAACAAAAACTATAGTACACATACCAGAAAGTCCACAGGTGATCTTTCCATAATTTTCCCAAGCTAGAAGTAACCTATCAACAGTAGAAAAATTGTGGCATATTCAAAGAATAGTACACAGAAATGAAAATGAAAGAATTACAGCTACATAACATAGACAACCTGTAAAATCACACTGTTGAATGAAAGAAGCCAGACATCAAAAAGATACACACATATTGATCCAATTCAAAGTTCAAAATCCAAGGCCGGGAATACAGGTGCATGCCTGTAATCCCAGCTACTACTATTCAGGAGGCAAAGATAGGAGGATCACAGTTGCAGGCCAGCCCAGGTAAAGTTATAAGTCCTTTGTCTGAAAAACAAACTAAAAGCAAAAAGGACTGGGGGTATGGCTCAAGAGATAGAGTCCTTGCCTAGCAAGTGTGAGACCCAGAATTCAACACCCAGTACAGCAAAAAGAAAGAAAGAAAGAAAACAAGAATGTAAAATAAAACTCTTTTGTTTGGGATGCATGGGTAGTTGTAAGCCTATAAAGAAAGGTATATAGATAATAACTATGAGATAAAAGAAAGTGTAGCTATACGGGAAAGGGAGAGGACAATGATGGAAGAAGACCATATGGGGCTTCTGGGTTCAAGTGATATTTTTTGATGAGTGTTTATAATGATTTGTTAAACTATGTGTGTCATGCTTTTCCCCAATATATATGATGTATTTCTCCACTGAAACACTAAGATCAACTACACCAAAAATATACAGAAAGTGAGTAGCCTGGAGCCTGATAAAAGCAGCTCCCAGAAATGTTAGGTGTCACAATTACACTGAATTCCTGAAAGTGTAACTGAACTGCAGAGTTGCTGGCTTGTCCAAATGGAATTTTGAAGTTTCTGTTGGAATTATTATTTGGGAAGTGCACCACTCAATCCTCCTGCCAGGTTTCAAAATCAGTTCATTGTTTCCTTTCCCACTTGCTTCCCACCAGCATTTCTCTCCCTGTAGTGCCCCTCTATCCCAGTCCCGCTGTCTGGCACACTTGACCTTTGACCTGCTGTCCTTCTCTGTCAAGTCCCCTCAATACTCACCCACCTGCCAGGAGTGCCCAGGATAGAAATGCCCCAAAGACCATCTCTCCATTTCTATTGCCCTGGTCCCCTCTCAGCCTGTGTGGCTGATGTCCCTTTCTCTCCTCTGCATTCCAGAATAATCCTCTCAGTAAGACTTCATCCTGCTCCACAACCTCTTGAGGTTCCCAGCTAACAAGTGCTTCAAGCCAAAATTTCTTTCTTTTTTAGATTCTATCTTGTGCATTTGGGCTAACATTCAATAAACCTTTAGGGTATATTCTCTAATGTAATACCTCCCAACTGTGGTCTTTTATTAGATATAATTTACATGTTTTTTACATGTCCACTGAAATTACCAATTAAATGTTTGATGGCCCAGAAAGAAGGACTGAACCTTGGGGTGGTCTGCCACTGCTCAGAGTTCAGTAATTCAGGGAGAAAAGAGACAAGGACAGTCATCTCCCAAGGTAGAAGGAAGAAGAGAGGAGAGGAGAGGAGAGGAGAGGAGAGAAATATTGTTTTCAAAACACAAAGAAGGTAGGGGAAAGAACCCATCTTGGCTGATGTGAATGAGAAACTAATAAATGTTACCCAGTGTATCTGCCCATATCTGCCCAGACTTTTACCTTAGAGTTTATTTGCAAATAAGCATATTTGAAAGTAAACTCTAAATCTAAATCAGCAAATCTGATCCAAGGCTTATCAGTTCTATATTGAAAGAGAGGTTTGGGTGACTTCACAAAAAATGAGCAAAATTGGTGAGAGTCATTCGAGACTATTTCTGAGCTGTGCTCCCAAGGGCCAAATAAAACTTGGTCACTAAGGAAAGGAGTGTGAGTCCCAGGAAGGTCCTGTTCCAAATGGGCATCAGGGGACCTGGGTTCAAATCCAGCATGGCCTCTATTTGCTTATAACTTTTGAACCAACTCAACTCCTTCAAGGAAGGAAGCAGAAGAGCCACCATCCATGGACGAACCTGGCACTTGCCCCTAATGAAACACACCCATTCCCAACCTCAGTGGTAGACATCTAGATGTACACATCACTGGGCATAGGACAGTTCTGTCCAAACCCCTGCACTAAGAGACTAGACCTCACTCTAGCACAGCTGTAGTAGCATTGGGCCCTGTCCTGGGATGACACCAGCCCTCAATAAAATGCCTACCTCAGAAGGCCCACTGCTGACTGGAAAACATAGTATTGTTCTAGCTGACCTAGCTCTGATGGGAGGCTCCTGGACTCCCTTTCTTGGAGCAACTACTCCAAAAGTCTTTCAATTGTGAATATGTATCTCTTACAACTCAGAAGTTGTAAGTCTTAGGTCCTCAAGGACCCAAGAGCCGTTGCTTTGAAGTGGAGTCATCAGAAAAAAGAAAGCCTCTGTTTCTCAGCCTCTTGTGGGGGGGGGGGGTAGGACTCTAACTTCATGCCATACACACTAACCAACCCCTTGTGCTATTCCACTTGTCTGACTCAGTAGAAGCCCAGTCTCTCCCCCACTCCAGTCCTCACTTTGAAATACCCAAACCTTTGCACTTATTGGGTACTAAATAAAACCTGTTTTCACCACTTCAGCTAATGTCTGGATGTGTTCATCTTTGACAACCTGAGGGGTTCAACTTGTGCTCTCTTGGACCAAAAGACCTTTAAGGTTCCTTTCTGGATGAACATCACGGGGCCTTAGGTTCAGACACCTACTTGTTCGGAATCCTCAGGTAGGATGATAGAAACTTTCACTCCCCATTTGGAAAGCTCTTGTCTTATAATTGATGAAAAATGGTCAGAGCTGCCTTCGTAGAGTTATAGGCTGCTAGCCTTTGTAGCGGGACCTTTCCTGCAGGAATAATGGAAGAATAAAGAAATCAAGTCTGATATCACTGTTCATTCACCCAATAAATTTTTAATTGGCACCTAACTGCATACCAGCATCTGCTATCATTGGTGGCCAAGGAAGACAGGGTCCTGTGTACCCAAGTGAGGATATGTTTGTGATCATTCCCTTGTGTACCACGGTCTTCCTCCATCACAGCTGCTGTGATGACTAACCAAGCTGAAGTCCCGCTCTCTCCCAACTTGTAAAGGAAACGTAATTCAGGTGGTGGGATAAGCACCATCTGCTCACCAGTCCTTCCACCCTGACCAACCTCCATTCTGAGGCTCCGGGTGATGTATGTTTTGGGGCTTCTTCTTTCAACTCACTACAACACTGTTGAACAAATCAGACTCAATGCCTGTTGCAGTGAGGAAAAACATACAACATGGGGGACTATCTCTGTAAGAAGGTGTGGGAAAGGTCTTTGTCTGTGGTGGGACTGATATTCATTATCCCACCTAAATCACATTTAGCTTACAAGCTACTGAAACTGAGCCTTAAACTGCATTTGTCGTTCAATCAGTTGTAAGGAAGGAGGTTTGAATAGCAGAATCAAAGGAGCAATTCGCTCCAGAAAAGGAGTGGTCTGTTGGAATAAGGGTCCATGAAGATGTAATGAAGATACAATCATCTCTCGGTAAGAACATTTTAGACTAGGATGGCCTCTAAGTCTAATGATACCACTTCTTATCAGAGGTAGCAAGGAGAAGCAAAGACATGGGAGAAAGTCATGTGAAGGCAGAGGTAGAGATTTGGACTCTGATACCAATAGCCTAGGAACTTTCTGGTGCAACCACCAGAAAATGGAAGAGCCAAGAACAGTTTTTCTGCTGGAGGTTCCAGAAGAACAACCCTGCTAACACCATGAGTCAGACTTCTGGCCTCCAGAACACCGAAAGAATAAAGTTCCATTGTTTTAAGCCACTCAGTTTGTTCTAGCAGCACTGGGAAATGAATCCAGGTATGTTCCAGGTGGGGAGACACTGACAAAGTGAAGGGGTGAAGACAAGACAGGGAGGACTTACAGCATGGAGGAGACCTCACACGGTACCCAAGAAGACAGCAGCCGGACAACAGGTTTCCCAGTCTTTTCAGAGACTTCCCTAGGTAGGGTATAAATGAAGTACAGCCACACCAATGGAACCCAATTCAGTCATCAAAAGGAATGAACATCAAAAGGAAGAAGCCACAAAGCACATGAATGAGTCAAACAAAAAGAGTATGTACTCTTTGTCACAATAACATTTATGTAAAATTCTAGAAAATGCAAACTAATCTGTGGTGAGAGAAATGTATCAGTGGCTTACCTGCAAGGTGGAAGAACTTTTAGCTAATCATGTCCTCAAAATTCCTGTGTTGAATCCCTAACTCTCAGTGTGATAATATTTGGAGATGAGGTCTTTC